TTATACACAATGGAGTATTACTCTGCATTAAAAAATGACAAAATCATAGAATTTGCAGGGAAATGGATGGCATTAGAGCAAATTATGCTAAGTGAAGCTAGCCAATCCTTAAAAAACAAATGCCAAATGTTTTCTTTGATATAAGGAGAATAACTAAGAACAGAGTTGGGAGGAAGAGCATGAGAAGAAGATTAACATTAAACAGGGAGGAGAGGTGGGAGAGAAAAGGAGAGAGAAGGGAAATTGCATGGTAATGGAAGGAGACCCTCATAGTTATACAAAATTACATACAAGAGGAAGTGAGGGGAAAGGGAAAAAAACAAGGGGGAGAAATGAATTACAGTAGATGGGGTAGAGAGAGAAGATGGGAGGGGAGGGAAGAGGATGGGGGATAGTAGAGGACAAGAAAGGCAGCAGAATACAACAGACACTAGTATAGCAATATGTAAAACAGTGGATGTGTAACCGATGTGATGCTGCAATCTGTATACGGGTAAAAATGGGAGTTCATAATCCACTTGAATCAAAGTGTGAAATATGATACGTCAAGAGCTATGTAATGTTTTGAACAACCAACAATAAAAATTTAAAAAAAAGATATATCATTTTCACTCTCATCATCAGTGTAGGAGAGTTCCAGTTTCTGCACTTCACTGTCAATGCTTGGTATGATCAGTCTTCTTAGTTTTAGCTACTATAATTAACATGTGCTGGCATCTTATTGTGGTTTTAATTTTCATTTCCCTCGTGACTATTGATGTGCATATCTTTTCATGAACTGGTTTGAAATCAATTGTATTCTTTGTGAAGCATGGATTCAAATCTTTTGCCAATTTTTGTATTGGATTATTTGCTTTCTTAAAGTGTTTTAAGAGAGTTCTTTATATATTCTGTATGCAAGTTTTTTTTAAAGATTAGATACAAAATTTACAAAAGAATGCAACTGTTAACAGTTTATCTCAAAATAGTTGTTAACAGTTATTTCATCTCAAAGTTTTGAAGTTCCTTCCTCATAATTTTTATTGTAACATTTCTTTAAAACAATTATCTTCTAGCTTCTTTTATTGAAACATGAAAAATCAGACATGTCCTTTCTCTCTGATTGCTTTAAAGATTTTTTTCTTTGTCTTTGTTATTCTGTGATTTCATTTTGATGTGCCTTGTCCTAGGCATAGCTTTTGTTTATCCTCTTTAGTATAAAATATTGCTTTCATGATAAGTGAATTAATATTTTCACAAGTTATAAAATGTTTATTGCCATTTCAACTTTAAATATTATTTGTTATTTATTCTAACTTTCCTTGAGGCCATCTATTATAAAAATATTGGACCTTCTTATCTATGCTCTATTTAGCTTAGCATCACTTTAATTTCCTTTTTTTTTTCTTGTGTTCGCATTCTGGATAATTTCTTGGATATTTTCCCCTGTTCTTCTTTCTTCAATTTGGTATTCAATCCATTCATTGACTTTTTAGCTTTATATAAAAACATGTTTTTCCAACATTTCAACATTATTAAGGTTATAATAATATTAGAATCAGCACCTGTATACCTACCATGGAGCATTTAATTATTCTTTTTATATATGTCTCAATCTATCCTCCTAGTCATCCATTAATACATCTTTAAGTAATTATATTTTTAAGAGTTGGAAGTTATATTGGCTCTCTGTCCCCTCTTTTGTCTGTCTGTTCTTACTAGATTTACTAGATCCTTGTTATTTGCTCATCTTTTTTTTTTTTTTTTTTGGTTACTGGGGATTGAACTCAGGGGTATTTGATCTCTGAACTACATCAACAACCCTTGCTAATCATTTTTATTGTAACATTTCTTTAAAACAACATATCTATTCTCTATCCTATATTGAATAATTCCAAAACCAACAATAAGCAGGCATCTAAACCTACTAATTTTTTTTACTTTTAAATTTTTTAAAATTTGTTTTAATTAGTTATAAATGACAGTACAATGATCTTGACATATCATACATACATTTGAATCAGATGGGGTATAATTTCTCATTTTTCTGAGTGTACAGGTACTAAGTTTTTTGTTTCTACTAAATTACATTGATAGTAACATTCTTTTATTGGAGGAGGTGGTGGTGCTTTGTAATCATAGTGAGTTCATTTATATTCCTGCATGCCTAAACTGGGACAGATTTCCTGTAGAAAATATTTAGTTTTGCTGCTTCTAGTACCATAGATCAGATACTGATATATAATTATTCAAAGGTTAGTTTCCTTACCTACTTGATAGTCCAAATTCTAGTATGATGATAACAATACTTCCATTACTACTTGCCCTTTGAACAACCACACTCATTTGTTATCTGTCCATTTATGTTACCCTAACCTCCCAACTCTGTTCTCAGCTCTGGTTAAGTGTATCTCTCCCTCCCTCCAATCCCATTTGTATGAAAGATAATTTTTGGAGTTCTTTTATCTGCTGCTATGAGTATATATGCAGAAGCTATTTATGAGGTTTTGCATGACATTTTGATTCTTTCCTTACATTTTCTTTATAGATATTCAAGAATTTTATGAGGTGACACTACTAAATTCCCAAAAAAGTTGTGAACAAAAGATTGAAGAAGCCAATCAAGTTGCACAGAAATGGGATAAGACATCTATTCTTGCTTCATGCCATGACAGTCTTCAAAAATCTGCAGAGGTATATTATTGACACTTCTTAAAGTGCTGAATCATATTAGAACTTATGCCAGTAGAAAAGTTGTGATAGTAGTAATAGTAGTAGTAGCAGTAATTGTTATCAATATGGCAACAATAATAAAAGAATTTTAGTTATACCACACTGTGTGTAAATTTTACATTTACACACAGTGTGCTAAGAGATTTGCTAAGAGATAAAACCCCAGGGAAGAGGAAAGGTATGGCTCTTTGGTATGACTTTTTGGTATGATTCTTCACATCACACAAGTGAGTATTGTTATGAATATTGTTGTATTTTGAGTTGACTCAAGTTTAAGCATTCTGGAATTTCAAAACATGGTTCCTTATGCAATGTGGGATTGGAGTAGGATAATGGAATAGGAAAATGTGATCCAAGGCTATGATTTCTATAACATCCTGGAGCATGAATGATCCATGGTGGTGTAGGAACAAAATCTTAGAACTCAAACTTCTTTTTATTTTAGAATTCTTTTGAATTTAGAATCTTTAAATTTTTGGGTTTGGGTAATTTATAACATATACTATATTAATATTTATAGATGTGCATTTAAAAATAAACAAAGCTATTAAAAGTTACGTACTCAAAGAGTTTTTACAGATAGGATTATGGGATCAAAGAATTTGGAGATAATGTCATTTGTAGCTAATAAAAAAAAAAGAATTTGGAGACTTCTATTGGACTTAACAATTGCCAAAGAGCAAGGCAAGTTGAAGTCTGTTTTAGATCCATAGCTGAGTGCAACTATGAAGGCAGGGGCAGATCAATGATACTTTCAAATGTCAGTCAGTACTTTAAAAGAGTGGTAATAGTATACACACACACACACCATATGTAAAGTTTGGGGTCATGAAGTTAACACCATGATTTGGAAGCTATTGTCAATGGGAGCTTGATTATTGCATTTTAGGATTGTTAAGATTTAATATCTCATGTACTTTCTGCCTTGCTCAGAATTGATTTGGAAATGAGATAAAACTGAGCATGATCATCTTAGCCACTTGAATAAAAACTGAGTTATTAATTGACACCAAACGTGAATTTATACTTAAAAACATAAAAATAAGCATCATCCTAATTTTAACACTATAAATAATTATTTTTACATTTTTTGTCCTCTATACTCTATACAAATCTATGCATATTAAATAGAAACAATAGCATCTAGAGGATTTTTATGTCTTTTGATTTTAATGTTATACTAATAGTATTTATGCATACCTTGTCACAAAGTATTTTTGAAACTGAGTGAGTATATAATATTCTATCATTCAAAACTTATTTAAGCAGTTCTTCATTCATACTTAGGTTATTTCAAATTTTCTCCTGAGTAGTGTAGTAATAAACATACTATTGTTTTTTAAATTCTTTCATTAGGGCTGATTTTATGAATGAGACTTTTGAGTCCCAGGATAATCATATAAAACTTCTAATTTAGATTGGCAAAGTACTTTGCAAATACTTGCTATCAGCATTGTTTCAAAAGACATATGCCTATATTCAACGTAACATTAATTTATCATTTAAAATATTTTGTAAAATCAATAGATTTTTTTACTTAATGCTTTTTATTGCAATTACTTGTTCCTATTGGCACTGAATATTATATACATTTTCCTCTTGTGATCATTCAAATTTGTCCATTTTTCTAGATAGAACTAGAATTCTTATTTTGCAAAAGCATTTTGTTTATGAAACATGCTAGCCTGTTGTCTTATTGTTACATTTTTCTCCTTTGTTTATTACTATTACTTTTGCTTATAGTGCTTTTTTTTGAGAATTTTAATATTTATTTTTTAGTTATCAGCGGACACAACATCTTTGTTTTTATGGGTGCTGAGGATCGAACCCTGGTCGCACACATGCCAGGCAAGGGCGCTACTGCTTGAGCCACATCTCCATCCCTTATAGTGCTTTTTTGACATTCAAAATATTTTTAATTTTTATAAAGTTAATTTTTCTTTGCTTTGCTATTCTGCATTCCTATAATTTTTCCTAGGTTTTTATTGCCTTAACATTTTCCATTTTTTGTTTTCAAAAAATGTTCTTATTCAATTTCCAGATGCATAGTCCCATATATAATTTTGCATAAATGATAAAATATATTTTTATTCTAAATACTATACTACTTAACCATTTTTTTCCATTTCTGCATGTCTTCTTTTACTTTCTTCCTATACTGCTTTAACACTGCCCTCTTTATGTGAAAGGTAATCTGTGTTACAAACATGTTTCTTCCTTCTGCACTCACATAATATGTATTCGTATACAAACTATAGACATATATATGTGGATTTTATCTACATATCCTTACTGGCACATGCACACATGTATTCATACAGAGGTAGTTTAGGGAAGTCATTTTTTCTAAAAAAACATGCTCATATTTCATGAAATTTTCACATTGTCAGGAATACTTTAATTGGTTCTTCTGATGGAAATATAATTTTATAGCTTAGGTGTATCATGATTTATTCAATTTACTGTTTCCAATTTTCTGCCACTATGATTAATGCTACAATTATCTTTATATGTATATCTGAAACACTGATGCTTTTGTTCTAAGGAATAAATTCCCAGAGGTGGCATTATTAGCTCCAAGAGCACACAAACATCTAATTTAAATAAGTATTTCCAGACTGATTTCATTTTTCACATTTCAACAGCAATTCATGTGGATGCAGTTTTTACCTTACATCTATGTCAGCAATAGATGTTGTAGTTCTTATTTTTACCAGTTTAATAGGCATAGTGATATTTCATTGTTCACTTAATTACTAGTACCCAGAATATTAATGAATTCACTATTAGTGAATTTGGGCACAGTTTCATATTTTTATTAACCAGTTAAATTTTCTCTTCTGTGAATGTATGGATAATTTTTGCTCTTTTTTGATAAATTTCTTGTAAATTTGTTTGTATTTTTTGTATATTTAAATAATTTAATTTATACTATATATATATATATGTATTAGAGACAAATATTTTGCCTGGATTATTATATACATGTAATATCTTTGGTTTTTGATTGACACCTTTTCTTCAAATGTATCAATCAAAATATTTTTTTAAAGTTAGATTTTACTAGTTGTTATTTAAAAGATTATTTGACTTAATCCATACAAATTGGACTTTTAATTGGTTTTTTAATAGATTCAGCAATATGAGGATGAATAATAAAATAATTCACATGAATATTAGACTTATTTATTCTTTTTTATTTTTCAGTGACAAAATTAGCATAAACAAAAGTTAATACAATCAGTGCTTTCCTACATGCAATTTTAGAGTTTCTTTAACTGTTCAATGGCAGCTTGACGTTCTCAGTAAATGATGTACTAAAGATTACACAAGTTATATTTTAAATATCAGAAGATAAACACAAAGAATTCCAATCAATTTGCTTTCAAAATGAAATGGATTGTTTTCTTCATGTAGAGCTAAATAAGACAAAGGAATGAGTTGATTGACCTATCTCACTGAAGATGGAGATAGAAATGTCTTTTATTTGAGTTTTCAGTGTATTGAGACAGAAAAATTGAGGATCCTGTCCTCTGGAGTTTGACTTTTCAAGATCAAAGTTTAGAAAGTGAATCCAAATTTAGTTGTTGCTTAAATGGTCTTTGTAGAGAATAGTAAATTGAGATATAGAGCCAAATTGAATCTCTCAATTACTATAATCTCTCAATTACAACTAGGAAAGCTTAGACTAAGGGACAACAACCTAGGTGGATTCTGATGATGTAGTACAAATGCTGTTCCAGTTTTTAATTCTCACCTTGTATACTTTTTCTTGGACAAACTGAGTTTATTTAAGAGCTAGAAATACATATAAACTCTATAAAATATGAATCTCTCTTTTCTATGATGTCTTATAACCCATATAGGTGTTTAGCACATAGTAGGCTCAAGAAATGTATGTTGAAATAGAAGTCTAAGAGTCTTCTAGTTTCACCTTCATTCTGGTCATAGGGTTCCTTGCATATCCAATTCAGCCTCTTTCTTTCCATTCTTTTAGCTAAGCTTCTTCAGAATGTAGGCCAGACTAGAGAAATAACTAATGTGTCTTGGCTGATTAAATCTGGCAAAGGAAGACATGGATAATATTCTCTAAAGCAATAAGAATTATTTATTATATTACTGGTAGATTGTCTCTGGAAATAGAAGTTTTGAAAATATTCAAAGGTAATGGAAGCACCATTGGAATATCATTTTCTAGTAGATTGCATAAGGATTAGTAGATTTTTAAAAATAAATATTTTCATAAGACATCCATTAGCCTCTAAAAAGCTTTGATGATATAAGAAAAAATGCAAATAAAGTATTCTCTGACTTCAGTCTACTGGTTTGAGGCAAAAGTCATGATTAGTGATTGAAGTAGTAAAATTTTATATTATGAATTCCGGATTTAATTTATTGTTTGTATGTTTTGTTTTAGTAGATTCAAGCCAGTCTCTTGAATTATTTTGACAATGTGAAGTCAAAACATGGTAGCATGAGACTGAAAACTTCTGGAACAAGCATTGTTTCTAGTATTTTAAAGACAGGTGGGGAGGAAGTGACTTTTGGCTGCAAGATGACAGTGTTATAATTAATGACAAGGAAATGTCTGTCTCCCCAAGTAGAGGCTTCCACAAGGAAGGGCAACAATGTATATCCAGTGCCTAACACAGAGTAATGTCAAAGAACTAGAGAAGTGTAGAGAATTTTAACTTTATTTTTCTATAAATCCTCTTGATCTTAGTATAAAAACAAATCTTCCTGTTAAAACCTGATTTAAACTCAATTTTGAGTTTTCTCAGAGCATTTATGCTTTATACTTAATAACTTTCCTACTTTCCTTCCATACTTCTTTTTTCTCAGAGAGAACAATTCCCTTGTGCATTTATATTCTAACATGGCATCACAGTGGGAACAGAGACACAGTATAATGTACATCTCTTTGTTAGGACAGTGCCTGGAGGCACATTATAAGACTCAGT